ATCTGTTGGTTGATCGATATCTGAGCCATTTTCCATATGTCTAAGAGGTGTTGCAAGAATGATCTACAAAAAAATCTTGATGACCGCTATGCATAGAGTCCATTATAATGGACACAACACAAAAGCAATATTTTGGTGTCTTACAAAAAAAAAATTATTCGAATTACCTTATAGGTTCATAAACACATGCATATAATGAGATCTTGAGGGATAGGAAATTCTGAAATTCATTATACTCCGTTATAATAAATACTTACCCTCCTTGTCGGGTGCAATACAAATTGTTATCCATTTGATCACGTGCAGAATATTTTTCGAGATACAAATTCATGAAATAGAAGCGAAAGCTGTTTGTTGTTGAACTACACTTATAGTTCTGGCGCATAAAACATTCAATTCCTGCATGATTGACGTCACAAAAAATTAGACAAGGAGCGTCCATTATAAGACACAATATGCACTAATGGGTTAATAAGGGAGGTGGCAAAAAATATAGAGTTGAATTTGTTGCCGGGGATGAAATATGAAGGAAATTATAAATGATTTATGGATTTTTAATTTTGCTGATAAATATCAATCAGCAAAGTAACCAATTTGCTGCCTAGGCAGCAAAGTACCCACTTTGCTGCCTAGGCAGGAAAAGTAATACTTTGCTGATTGATATGTGTCAGCAAAATTAATATTTGCTGCCAAACGGAGGAAAACTCCTTTTTCCCTTATGTAAGTTGGAGAAGTCCAATCCAACCTAAAAAAACATACCGACAATATATTATTTACCAAACAATTGTTTCAACTTTACCTAACCAAAACTATTATCTGAGTGTTGAATGGTGGCCAACTTTACAAAATATCTACAGTATACTTATAATTCTCTTCATTTGTAATTTTTCGTCTCCGTATAATTTGAACGTACTCTTCCATCTTTGACACTCAATGGACGTTATTTAATTGCAACCACAGTTTTATCATCTTCTTCCTGCAAGTCTGATGAACTCTCCTCATCATGATTATTAATTTGGAAGATTACATCAGTGGTACTCCTTGACGAGATCGAGATTCAAAATTTTCTCAATATGCTTGTATGGTTCTGGTACTTCTCATATACAAACCTCTCTGATGGAGATATATCCACTACTTTTGTACTGAATGATCCAAAAATTGAAGAGAGTCCAGAGAAAAAGAGACGAACTTCAGCAAAAATTTCATACAGTGTGTTAAATCATTACCAAATTTAGTACTACTAGGAAATACTGACGCTCTGCCACTAACTAAGCTCAGTTCAAATCGCGAAACTTTTGGATATTCGCAAAGAGGACATCATTCTCTTTCATTTGCTATTTGTTTTAACTCGTTATTACATGACGGAAGTATGTCCGAAATAACGGCCGCAAATACATCGCTGTGTTGTGTTTTTGGCTCAGATTAAGAGGTGGCACAGGTAGGTTTTTGAGATCCATACTATTCAATTGGTATCGGATGGCATAATTCTCATCTCGTTATCAAATCGTGAAGATACAATAATGTTTTTTCATACTCTTGGGGCATATATCATTTCAAAAAACCAAAATTCAAAAATGTTGCTTAAAATTATTTTGGGCTTAAAACCCTTAAGAACTATGTTCTCAATTTTATAGTTTCTTTTCTCCTCCTACCTAGCAAGCCTGATGATGACTCCTAGGAGTCGAAACATGTAGCATATAGCATATATGATTTGATTATAATTTACTTGGAGCGAGACTTTGAGTTTGTTCTCTTAATTATATATCATTTCGTTGGTGACGGTCGAAAGTTGCAGCTGGCTCTTGGGCTATAAGAAACTTTTAGCAAGTTGGAATAGATTTGCATCTGCTGAAGAGTAGTATAGAGACTGAAGATCAGTCAGTTCACGAGATTTTCATTCTGTTGATGTGGAATTCCCGAATCAATACTGAATTGGTTTCAACAAAACAATTTGTCAAATTGAAATACTGTATCTATCTTATCAAGAAAATATTTCATTGATGAACAGTATATTTCATTGAATCAACGAAATATTTCATTTTATCGAGCGAAATAAATGCTTGAGCCAATTCAATATCTCTTCGTGGACAATTCATGAATGTGTTGGATTGAATCAAATCCAGAGTTCATCCAAGACATATTCACTTGATTTAAACTTCAAATTGGCTCTGAAACAAGATATTGTTTTACTTATTTCATTGCTTGATTCAACAATTCCTTTTCACCGTGCAGGAACCTTATACAGGGTGTTTCATTGGGAAAGGTGAATAATTCAACTGTGGCTAGAGGTCACTGAGGCGATTTCAAAAAACCCATGGTTAATCGGTCTTCAACATCTTATAACCGAGATACGGGATGTTTCACCAATTTTGCCCATATCTTTATTGTCTCATAACTTTCCAACCAACCTGTATATTTTTTTGAAAATTTGTACACTTACTCAATCTATTCTGTCGAATTGATTGAGGCATCAACAGAAGATAGAATCCAGGTCCGGCTTCACTTCAAATTCACAATTTTTTTCTGCCCAAAAACAACACCCTATACATTTGAATTTCTCATTTTTGTGGCCATATCTGAGAAGAGCATCAGAATGTCCATTCGACGATGTACTCTTTATTCATGCACAGACGATTTTTTCTACTCATATTATGTGCTCAAAATATTATTTTTGCTCATTTTGAGGTATAGAGTGGAATCAGACGAAGATTTATAAATTTTATTAGTTCCTATTCAGTCTCCGTCGCATTAAGTTTGGAAGGAGTGTTTCATATCGTTCTTTGTATCCATCCAGACTATTAGAAAATATAGTTGCAGGTCCGTCATCAAAACTATACAGGGCTTTTCGTTAATTAGACGTATTCGGCAGACTAGGCAATGGATAAATTTGAAAATTTGATGGTATGTATAAATTAACATAATCTACACGTCCGAAATATTTGAAACGATCCGGCGTTGCCGCTTCTACTAGACAGAAGCAGCAACTTCGATTTTTCAAATGGGACACCCTTTATTTCATTATATTCTTGGATTATTCCTGAAGGGCTGATATCATCGATTCACAAAATTCAGGGTCTAGCGGGACTGATAACTGAGATATAGGGTGTGAAAAATCTAGATGTTTCAACTTTAGAAATTATTTGTGTTGAAGCTATTTATTATTGCATGGTCAAAACGGCTTGACTATCCGTTTACTATCAATTGATATTCAATTGAAACAGATACAGAGTGGTACAGAAATCTGAATTATTGACCACCCTGTATTTGTTTCGATCAAATGTCAGTAGATAGTAAATACGAAGGTGATATAGGGACATGAAAGCCGTTTTGATCAATAATGAATATTTTCGCCACAAAATATTTCTAAAGTTGAAAAATCTCGATTTTCCACACTCTAAATATCTCAGTTATTAGTCCCACTAGACCCCGAACGTTGTGAATCGATGAAATATGCTCTTCAGGAAGAATCCAGGGTGTCCCATTTGAAAAATCAAAGGTACTGCTACTTTCTTGTGGAAGCGGCAACGTCGGATCGTTTCAAATATTTCAGAATTTTAGATCATGTTAATTTATATACATACCTTCAAATCTTCAGATTTATCCGTTGCCTGGTTTGCCAGAAACGTCTAATTAACGCTCATCGTGAAGAGCCCTGTATAGTTTAGATGACGGACCTGCAACTAATTCTGGATGGATACAAAGAACGATATGAAATACTCCTTCTGAATGTAATACTCACGTAGACTGTGTAGGAAGTGATGAAATTAATAAATCTTGTTTGATTCCAATGTGTACTTCAAAATGAACAAAAATAATATTTTGAGCACACCATATGAATAGTTAAAATCGTCTGTGCACGATTAAAAAATACATCGTTCAATAGACATTTCGATGCTCTTTTCAGATATGGCAAAGAAAATGAGAAATTCAAATGTATAGGGTGTTGTTTTCTGGCAGAAAGAAATTGTGAATTTTAAGTGAAGCCGGACCTGGGTTCTATTTTTTGTTGATGCCTCAATCAATTTGACAGGATGGATTGAGTAAGTGTACCAATTTTCAAAAAAATATACAAGTTGGTTGGAATGTTATGAGACAATAAAGATTTGGCAAAATTGATGAAACATCCCGTATCTCGGTTAAAAGATGTCGAAGACCCATTATAACCATGAGTTTTATGAAATCACCTCAGTGACCCTTATCCACAGTTGAATTATTTACCTTTCCCAATGAAACACCCTGTACAAAGAATATCTGTCATCATAACGTAAATAACATTGTTCCCTATGGGAACATAGGGAGAATTTTTGGTAATTTTGCACTTATCATGCGATGGGTTTTTTTTCGAAAATTTTTTTTGGTACTTACGTATTTTTGTCTGAAAAACACGAATTTGATATTGAAAATGTGAACAAACCACTATTTATCGAGATTTTTCAAGGTACTTGCTCTTTTTATTTTGTCATTGGACACTTCATATACTCATGATGTACTTCAATGACACATTTTAAGCTAGAAAATTCAACAGGAAATATGATTTTTATGGTGAGTTTTTTCTATTCAGTGAGCAAGCATGCCAGATGACCGCCATTTAATCGATGGGTAATCCAAATAGGAGATGTCAAATGTCAATAGATTGCTTTGGAATGACATCACACACGCCATTATTTCAAATGATATTCTTCCTTCTTTTCACTAAACATGGATAAATCACAAGAAAATCATATTTCTAGTTGACTCATATAATAAAAAATATGTGTCCAACATTGTGTGATATATATAAATTGTCCAATGATGGAAAAAGAAGGGCAAATCGTTCTAAATGCGCCCCAAAGACAGGCGGAAAAGAAGGTGAAATTTGTAACTTTATAGTGAAATATCTCAATAAATAATGGTTTGTTCACATTTTCAATATCAAATTCGTGTTTTTCAGACAAAAATACGTAAGTACCAAAAAAATTTTTCGAAAAAAAACCCATCGCATGATAAGTGCAAAATTACCGAATTTTTATTTCAGTATTGTGACACCATCATTACATCATTTTCATATTTCAATACATTAATACGATAATAATACTTGTTCTACTCAATTTCTTGTCGGTCCAACTGCCGCAACCTCTTCTTTATCCTCTTGGACTCCTCGAAATTCTTCGCTCTCCTCGCCAACCTCTCCTCCTTCATGCATCTCGTCATCAGATGGTCCTCGGAGTTGCAGATGCCGAAGAACTTCCGGAACGGGTGCTCCCTGTGGCATTCTTGCAACAGTTGGATGAGCTCGTTGCACTTTTCTGTGTGCAAATGGGGCGACAGGTCGGTATGCATTATTGGCGCGATCACTCCGGTCAGAAGGTGTTTGGATGAGACCAGGTGATGATTTTGTCAAAAATGTCAAACGGAATGTCGAAAATGTCAAACGGAATGTCAAAAATGTATTCGAAGCATATTCGAAGTAGAGTCACTGGATGCTATTGATCATTCTAGAACACGTGCTTTTGATATGGTTTATTGAGGGGCACACAAACTATCTGTTAGAGGTTACCTTTGATGAGCATAGCCCTGGCCATCCCTGCCACATCTACAATATAATAACAGTTTCACCAAACACAATTATGGAATTCTTTCTAGTTCCAACTCGGATTCCAAGGAAAACGATCCCACTTATTCGGGTTTTATATGACATATCTTGACAAAATACAATGTTTGCCCCTCAGCAACCTGTCAAATGACGTAATTCTGGAATGATTTATTAGTTTGATAAGAGTTCGGACACAGCCTCGGACACAGCTGAACTTTTGTCCTTTTCTATTTTCTATAATACAATGGTTTAAGTGAATAAAAGAATAAGACATATATTCTGCTCTTTGTCTTTTCAATTTCCCTAGTAGCGCCTGATTGTCAGATACGATTTTAGAGGTTATATTTTATGTCAAATCAATCATAGCCGTAGATGAACAATGGATATAGGGTACACTGGGAGAAAACTTGAGTTATCATAATTGGAAATCTGATAACCGTTATTACGATATCTGCAATAAATAGGAGACAGATGTGTTCATTTGCTACCATAGATGAAGTGAATTTTCAGGTGACTTGTAGTTATGGCAGCTTATTCAATTTGCAAACTTGTATAAAAACACCGCTGCTGAATAACTACTACTTGTTCTAGTTTCTATGATAACACAGAATGTCGAATAGGAATTATTCCCATAAAATGTTGCAGTAACTCTCCACTCTACAGTGGTTATTAGACTATCGACATAAATCAGCATGTTTTTATTACAGGCACAACCATCTTGAGGTAACGCAGTAATACGTCTCATTTTATTATAGTTATCTGATATCTGCATGAAACCTGACATTTTGACATGCTATTGTAATATAGCTCATTTTCAACAGTTATCCCAATATTTTTCTACTCTAGTATATTCATCAAACAGTGGTAATGAGGTTATCTAATCAACATTATTCGATGGTATGCATTATGAAACCATGCTTTGAATTACTGCAATGAAAATAAATATCCTATCCACACTATCACTTTTCATGATCCAAAGTTATTGTTTTCAAAAAAACAAAAAATACGTTTAGTCTCTGAATTGAAATATTTGGGTATCTGTGGAAGTTTTTTGACATTACTCATTGATTTTTTCGGAGAAATATCATCTATATGCATTACTGACGAATTTATTAAGAAATGAGAAGTTGAATACTTATATTTACCCTTCCTTCGGAGTTATGATGAGAATTGTCAATAAAACTTCCCTCACAGAAACCTAGATATTTCGATTTAGAATCTCATCGATCATTTTGTTTTTGCAATAAACCAATTTTAGGCCGTATGGAGAATACTTTATCCATTGCAATAATGCAATGCACGGTGTATTCCACAGATCGGTTCACAGCCAGCACTAAAACAAAACTTTGCTACATCACAGACATTCACCTACAAGACACGGCTCTATATCGATTCGGACGATCGAAACCATTGAACAATAATTGAACACGGGCACCCATGACCGAGAACAGCAGTGATTGTCACATACGATTTTAGAGGTTATATTTTCTGTCAAATCAATCATATAGCCGTAGATGAACAATGGATATAGGGTACAAACACCCACTTCAATTTATATTGATACACTTCTAGCAGAGCAACTATTATATAAATAAAAAAAATGCATGTAACAACATTTTAATATCAGAAAATATATACATATGGATAAACATATAACTATAATTCCTCATTGTATGTGAAACTGTACTCCATTGAAGTATTTCTGAGACGATTCTGAGAAATAAAGTCTATACAAGCTTGTGTCCGGAAATTCATTTCGGAGATACGGCTAGGGTGTTGAAATACAGAAAACAAATTATTTTTCGATAAAGATTTCATAGGAAAAAAGTTATTTATTTCGACGAGACCTACCAAATTCTTGGTAATGTAAAGTTCTCAGCAACTTCACGTAGCGCCCTAGGAGCTAAGTAACATGAATCGATATAGAAAATATCTCCAAAACGATAACCTCCAGCGTAATTAAGGCCCTTATAATAATTTCCTTGATACATAAATATGTATCCACTTTTCACTGTTGAATTTTGAATTCGGTCAGCACCAAAAACGCTATTCAATAATATATCACGTTGTAGTTTATTTACTTGCTTTTCTTATAGTTTCGTTTTCAAATTTTCAATTTCTAAATGTTATTATGCGATCATTTCCCCTTTTTCCATGATTATTTTGTTTGGTATTTTGTGTGATGATAATAATGGAATTTTGTTCTTGAAATCATCTGCTTTGTGAATTGATGGAGCAGCAGATTCTCTTAAACAGATTTTGAAAACTTCTGTTTGAAAATGGGCCTAAAATATAGATTCATTCTAATCAGATGCTGTTATAAGAAGTGAATTTCAATGAGTACCTCACGAATTTCGCTCGTCTTCAAATTGATTTGCCGCCCAGGCTGTTTCATATCTTCCTTCCATAAGCGAATGCTTGATATTTGATTTGGAAAATCGAATAAATGATATCCATTTGTTTCAAAATTGGCACAATTTATTACACAGCAAGTGATTTCCATAGTTGCTCTTATCTCGAAAGTATAATGATTATGAAATTGTATTTCAATTCTGACGCTTATAAAATTAATTGTCAAATTCAAACAATTTTGAATGAAAAAGCGCGGGACGACTATGGTGCTCTTGTCACAATGCAAGGTGTGTAACTTTATAAATCTAAACATTCAAAAACCCTAACCGTTGTCATTTCTGTGTCCGAACTCTTATCAAACTAATACCATCCAGTGGCTTTAATTCGAAGTAGAGTCACTGGATGGTATTAGTTTTATGAGATTTCGGAAATGACAACTGGTAGTGTTTTTGTATGTTTATATTTATTAAGTTACACATCTTGCATTGTGACAATAGCATCATAGTCGTGCCGCGCTTTTTCATTAAAAATTGTTCGAATTTGACAACACATTTTATAAATATCAGAATGAAAATGTCCTGCTGTGTATTTAATTGCGGTAGTTCTGAAGGGAATGGCAATTTCATTTCTTTAATTTTCCAAAGGAAATATCAACCATTCCTCCATATAGGATAAATGTATGAAACGGCCTGGATGGAAAATTGATTTGAAGATCTGCGAAATTTGTTTGTTGAAATTCACTTCTTATAATAGCAGATTGGAATGAAACTATATTTTAGGCCCATTTTCGAACAAAAGATTTATAAGAATTGTTGTTCCACTGATTGAAGTACGTAATGAAATTGACAATTTGAGAACAAAACTGAGAAATTCAAGTAAATTGCAACGTGATATAATATTATTGAATGGCGTTTCCAATACCGACCAAATTCAAAATTTATCAGCAGTAAGTGAAGGCAGCAAAAGGTGGGAAATCGAAACAATCTTCATGTTTTACATTTAGGACTGGTCTGACATGCTGACGAAATATGATCGTGTGTTGTAGACATTTTCAATCTATTAGCAGTATTAGCTTGTATTGCAGAAGTGACAGAAGGAATTTTAATAAGGAATGACAACATTTCATAATGATAACTATGTGAGATTACTATTCACCTGAAAAATCATATTCCTTCGTCTCTCGCTGCATTTTTTGTGCATTGCACAACAGCACAATGCGAAAGGTATGCTTGAATTAATGAATAGCGCAAAAAAACACGATTCGTTTGCCACAATATTGTGAAAAACTATTTCAATCTTGATTCCTTTGTAATCAAATAAAAAAGTGAGGTTCTGTTTCAATAATTCACAGAAGAGTGAGGTTGTGTTCCAATGTTCTACCTCCAGGGTCGGTTATCGTGCACGCGACCTATAAAAGCTCAAAATAACAAAAAACAAATGACTTCTCCGCAAAGGAGCAAGTAAATCCCTCTGGTGGAGTATACACTGAACTGAGTGATTGGACAGTCATGTATGACCCGTCGGACAGTCTAGATATTTAGCCGTCATTGGTTGAAGATATTTAAGATTAATTACTATTCCATGTAGTATTCGAACGGAATTTTGAGCTACTTTATTGACATCTGAGATTGACATAAACATGTGGGTTATGTTCATTGTCAGTTCAATTCATTAAATGAGATTCTTAAAGGAGTCAAACTCATTTCAGTTGCATATAGGTAAGTTATGTTGCATGAATACCGCTTATCAATGTTGAAATCATGTGTTTTGTACCTACTCCAATAAGTATAGATGAAGCATATTATACAATGAACCTAAATACATGTATGATAGAACTGATGATTGAATATCACTTTGTTATCAGATATATATGTCGACCCCAACAGGTCCTCAGTGTCGCTTTCTGAATATTTTAGGATTCTTTTTCAACATCAGAATACGATGCTAGTTATTATTTCAGTCACATCTGTGTTTTTCATGATGTTGAAAAACATTATTTACCAAGTTTGAATTCTTTAAGAATATGAAAACAATCATAAACTGCGTTGCAGATGTACCTAACCTATAACTTGGAACAAACAAATCATCGTTAATCACCCTGTAATGAAACTCTGTCAAATCAGTAGAGTAAAATAAACCCACCTATATTAGGTGCGTTCGGTTTAACAAAATCGGAGCCGAGCGAGCAGATGCAGATTTGGTGTCACGTGATCACCTAGCTGATAGAGCTTAATATATTTAACGAACGCTCAACGAGGTAGTAGATTGCGAGCGCCAGCTGTCAGAAGTAACAGAAAACAAACAATTCACTCAACCTTATTACTTTTAAAAACACGTCAGGGCAACAAAGTTCTTTTGAATGTTTGTTGTTTACTTGGGTTTATATTTTGAAAATTACTAGGGAAGGAATCATTCTGTCTCATATGATCGGTCATTAACTGTGAATCAGAGCAGTTGTGATCGCATATATTACAGATATATAATTAAAATGCTACCTACAGCAAATTCGTCGGTCATTCTGTCGATTCTGGGCAAGGAGGATT